AATAGCACTCGTCTAAGGATAGTATTTGCTGCTCTAGGGTAGTGACCAACGATGCTGGGCAATATAATCCAGCTTTCGTCGGGACAGATACAAAGTCCATGATCCCCGTCCTCGCGTATCTGAATGGTTGCAGCCAAAAAGATAGGTTTCCTTCAATCACTTGGTTTTACAATAGTGAACTTAACCTTAGTAACCAGGGTAAAAAATAGCTGTACAAACCGAGTAGGAGGACGTAATCAACGTGGTACTTGCTGTTTACTTATTAGTAGGAAATCAACGAGGGACTTGCTGATTACTCACGTACGCGAGACTCGAGACACGCGTGATCATTGCCCCCACCAAATACATGTGTATTAGAGGAAGGAATTTCCATAATCCAGTATTAGGGTACTGGATTGTGATGATTTCCAAAAATATTTCAAACCAACAGTGTCAATTCCAGTACATCTGCCCTGGGTTTGCAGTAATTAAAAACCAGTACCCTACTTAGTTCGCACTGAACCAGTGCCCGTATCAAATGCTTACAAGAGTATTTTTCCGGCGAAGAAGTGAAAGAATAAAAAGTTTAACATGATCTCGACGTCGTGGAAATGTCGACGCTAGGCACCATGGCTTATGTTAAAATTTTCAACGTGCAAATGGCATTAATCACTTCGAACGCTTATTATGCGTTTATTATTAAATCAATGACCCGAAGATCATCGATATCTCAAATGAGTCGAGGTTGAGCACCTCAGAAAAGAAGTGTGGTTATAATTAGCTATAAGTTGATATGTATTGGCAGCGTTGCATCCACGCACCCCGTAGTCGTATTAATATCTCGTTAGAGTTCATTCTTATGCTACTTCTTTGTAAACTTATCTCGAAACGCTTTTTTTAAAACAATATGCGATTCCAGAAATTTACAATTTAGATTGTAAAATGTTAATTTAGGAGTTTTTTGTTTTACAAACCATGTTATACGAATTGAACGTTAAATGAACAATACCCAGTAAAAAAAATATGGAAAATGGCTACAGAATACAAATATTTTACTTTTACCGATACCAAATATGATTTGATTTCCAAATATAGCATGCTACATTTGCTATTTTCATCAGCGACATTTTCTCAAGTTGTTTATTTTCAATATGCCAATGCCTGCTCAAGATCTCAACTCGGGATCGGTCTTGCAGCTTCCTGCTTCTACAAACGCATCGATTCAACACCCCGGAGAGCGTTCGGATCCTCTGTGCAAGTTCGGCAATGCTCGTTTCGTAGTTGACTGCTCTGACATCGAGCTTGATCGAGACTAACGACTTCTACGGCGTGACATTTCGATTCAGATTGACGATTCCTCAAAGCAGGACTATGGTCTAGTCTACAGCCGAAACGAAAATATTTCTGAGGATAAAATTTCTTCTCAAAAGAACGCTCGGGGGCGGTGTAAAAAATTTGCCGTTAAGTCAGGCTTCCAATATTTTTTTGAAGCAAACAAGTGTCAAGGGCAACAACTCCGGGAACGCAAAGTATCAGTGCAAGAAACGCAACGGTGTCCAATTTTTCGACCGGGAGACGCCTTTGGACAATTTAGAGTGCCCGTTTTTCATCAATGTATACGGGAACGCCTTGCGTTGAAGGTGCAATTTCTCATCCATCGACAGCTATTCGGAACACTGCACAAGACATTCAACATCTCACTACTCTGGTTATGAGAGATTTGCTACCAACGCACGCTAGATCTACGGCATCCTTAGATGGAAGATCGATTCGTGAGTTTCCCAAATTCCGTAGTTTCACAATTTCAAGCAGCGCTATCTCTAGGATGAAGATGGACATTGACGATAGCCTCCGCTGAGACATCATCGAAAGTTATCAGAAACTAGAGGCGTACTTCAAGTTCATGGAGGAGAAAACCCCCAATTCTGTGTGGAGAGTTGACCGTGAAATTGACAACGCTACTTTTCGACGAGCATGCTTCATTCCAAATGTTGGAATTCATATCGTCAAAATGTGCAAGCCTATTGTTGGTTTTGATGGAACCCACCTGAAGGAAGAAATGAACAAGAGAAGCGTTTTCCTCGTTGCAACTGCCGATGATTTCAGCAATCATGTCGTACCTTTTGCACTGGCGCTGGTTCCAGTCGAAAACTATGAGAATTGGCACAGGTTTTTTAACAACTTTGAAATTTGCAACAAGCTTAGCTAAGTTTACAGCAATTTCCGACCGCCAGAAGAGCCTTTTAGCCTCTGTGGCTGAAGTTTTCCCGATGTTCGACACAGGTTTTGTCTGCGACACATCATGGACAACATCAATCGCCAGGGGGCAAGGTTGTCAATTGACGATAGACGTATCGTATGTCAAATGGCTCGTAGTGACTGCGAGAATGACTACA